CGCCATGGCACTTGTACAGAATTCTGCACGTTGTAAGTGTTGCGTCGACATTTGGTGACTCAATGGATGAATGAACATTTGAGTTATTTCATCCATCAATAAGCCATTTAGACACAATCAAGTTTCGCCTTTCTAATCCGGACAGTCTCTTGCATGTTCAACTTACCAAACAACAGCGTTACGTATCCTGGTTTCGGAAGCCTGCCTGCTCTACTGTGGGAATCCAGGGATCCGCCCATGATCCTACAGCATTTGCTGCACTGGTGCAGTGGCGAAGTGCTGGTGAGAAAGTGAACTGCTGCCTTGGATGGAGTCCAGCATGGCTGCGAAAGAGCCAGCCCCGGGGCTTTGTCTCTTGCAGACGGAAATGCTTATCCTCTATCTTTGCAAACATGAAACCTCACATTCCTCCCATTGATTTATTAAACCAACGTGGAGGTCAGCAAAGAAATCCAGGTGCCACATGGAATATTTCTGTGGCTGGTTATTACCCAAATTGCAAAAGCAGCGTATATTGCCTTGCAGTCAGGAAAGCACAACTGAACAAACAGGGTTAGCATTGCTGGCTTTGACCGATATCCCTGTGACCTGCCTGGAATGGCTGTCCCCAGCGTACCCTCTTACCTCCGAGTCTGGTGATTGTGATTAAGGGCAAGGCTCGGTAGAGCAGGCCTCTGGGGAGAAAAATACATTCACTTGGCTAGTTCCATGGAGCAAGCATTTAGGAGTTTGAACCTATCACCATCATTTCTGCTTGGACAGCAGTAAGTTCCTGTCATTTCTAATACTGCACGTGCCTTGAATATAAACATGCTTCCCATCTTTAATCTATTCAAATGACATTCTTGTTCCTGCTGTAATCTGAATTTTATATAGCCGCATAGCACACTTTATGATGCATCACTTCGAAATGTGGTGCTGTAAAATTAAGCATAGTTTATATTAAAATGGGAAAAGTTTTTCTCTTAGACGTATTTCCTAAGAGAAGGGAGAGATTATTATGACTCCAGTAGTGAGCATAACATACAAAGAAATAAACTGGCTACAAGAAATAGAAAGGAAAGATATTTGTGGCTTCAACAAACTATACATTTCTGTTGACTTTATTTATGTTTTTTTTTGGAAAAAGTTAAAGACTTGTGGAAAGCATGATAAACTCCAATAATGAGATGTTGGCACTTTTATTCCTTAAAGCAATTTTTAAGGTCACTTTTTCAAAGAAAACCCATTTGCAAGGGCAGAAAATAAAGATATTTTAATTAGAAAAAAGTGGAAGTCATGGTGTAGTTAAAGAGTTTCCATCAGCTAAGCTACATTTTAGCTTGTTAATTTCCGAAAAAGCGTTTTGTAAATGGATGTTTGGAGTTGTGTCTAAAAAGTTACAGCACCAGTTATATGCCATGGTCCACTGGTAGCACCCATTAGATTTTCCACTGGGATATTTGAAAACCTACAACAATCATATAGTTTGTTGCAATCACTAGCTATCTAAAAAAGGAACACACTCATTAACAGTTTCCTCATGGTACAGATCAGTTCATATTGGTGTCCCCCAAGCAGGAGAGGTTTATTACATGCACGCTAGACTCTGAAGACTGTGGCATTCAATTATCAAGTTCTACAGAGACATAGGGAAGTGGCAAAAGACAATGGCTGCAGGATGTATAATGAGTACAGCATCCTCTGTCTGGAAGCAGACAAAGCTTAGGTTAGAAGTAGCTGTGTGTTGGAAAATTACTTAACTTCCCTGGGCCTCAGCTGTTTGCTTGGACTAGTAATGGCCATCTCTAGGGGATTTTGTCATTATTAAACAACTGAGAGCCTGTCCTATGTAGGTGTCCTGCATGTGTTTATTTCTTTTATTTCCTTGCATCAACATGCGGATGCCAACTTTTATGACACTGATGTATCTACCTGGTGGTGAGAGGGATGGAGTCCCATCCTCTGTCTTGGTCTAGGACTATTGCCACAGCTTATTGGTGGCAGGAGAACGTGGCTCTCCTGACCCCTGGAAGGAGGCTTTTTATGGGCCCTGCCTTGGAAGAACTTCAGCCTAAAGCTGAGCTTTTCAAAACAAATGCCAGTACAGAACTTCCTGTTGTGTCAAAGGGTTTTAGAATAATGAAATGAAAAGTCGCTGGTCATCAGGTCCCATATGACTGAAGCTTTCAGACTCTATTGGCACTGGAGAAGTAACATATTTTCAGTGGTTCTGAAACAGTTATATCTTAGGCATTTTATGGTAATGTGAATATATTTACTTTTTAACTAAATTACCTCAAACAGTTTTTTAGAGGAAATATAGAGGTATTAGGAGTAACCAGAGTGGTAGGAATTCTATTACAGAGGTTCGTTAGCATACTTCTATATTTGTTTTTAATACTTATTTTTTTAATTTCCACGGAGCATGTTTTGTTGGCAGCCCATGACCAATTTCATGTTTGTGGAGAAGATACTTAAAAGGAAGGAAATAAATGCACAAGTACGTAACAAGACTCAAAAGCCTTTCTAAAGAGATAATGATATTACTTCAAACAACACTAATGCAGAAACATTTGCGGGGAGGGGAAAGGAAAAGTCAGGATTTGTTTTGTTTTTTTTTTTTCCAAACAGATTTTTCCAGAGTTGCTCCCTTTTCCTTTGCTTTGATACCCAGAGCAAATGCCACATGGGCTTTCAGAGCAACATGCTGGGGGGGAGGATTTGAAAAGGAGGATGACTAGACAGAATATTAAAGAAGAGGCAGGCAGCTAGCAGAGGAGGCTGAAGGCGGGGGGAACCAAAACCAAACTCAGACCCAGGCTGGGTTCAAGAGCCCCCTAAAGCAAGGCTGTCCTGCAGCTTGGGGTGGCCACGCCAGGAGCTACTCAAAAAGACCAGAGAGCTGCGGTGACAAAGAAGGTGGTTCTGCCCCTTCCCCACTCCATTGACCAGGTTCAGCACAGAAAAGGGCCCCTCTGCCCTCCCAGTCTCACCCTTCACTGCCCCATTTCTCCTTGTTTCTGCTGCCCAAAGGATGGCTCCAGGTGCCTCACTGGTTTCTTCTCCCGGCAGCATCTGCTGCCCTTGGTGCTCTCTCCTTTCTGGGCAGCCTCCTCTGCAGCCAAAGGCTTCAGTGAGGAGCTGTGGAAAGGAAAAAAATAAAAAACACGCTGATGGCCTCAAGATCTCTGAGGGTGACCTGAAACTCCTGGGAAAAGGGGTGGCACAAAGGAAATGCATTCATGAATACCCGAGAGTGTGTTGTGTGCGGAGTCTCACACACTGTGTGTGTGACACTGTGTTTTTTATGTGGCGGGTTTTCACAACCCTCTGTTTTGTGCCTTTTTCTCTCATATGTGTGTTTTTGGGGGGATATATATGTGTGTTTTCTTGTGTTTTCTCTCTCGTCCCCCCACTCCTCCCCCGGAGGCTTTTCCCATTTTTGACCTTGTTGAGGGGGAAACCCAGGATTTTGCGGGTTTTAAAATTTCTTCCCGTTAGTTCCCTTCCCTTCCTTGCCAGGGCCAACTTTTTTTCGGGCCGGCTTATTGCCTTTGGGTTTGAATTCTTGGATGTTTTGGGCTTGGTTGGTTTTTTGGGTTCCTTGGTTTTTGCCGGTTTTAAACTACCAATATCGGTGCTTCTGAATCTGTATTATTTGAGACAATAGAGATTGTTTAGAAACCCGATGAAAGTTCTCTGCTACAGTCTTTCCCTCTACCATGAAGAGGGTGGGGTATCATAATCCCGGGGTTGTAGGGTCGGAAAGCACCTCGGAGGATGAGCCTCACCCACCCTCTTCTCGGGAGAGGAGGACAGCATCTCCGGAGGCGGCTGTGATACCGCTCCACGCGCTTCACCTTCTGAGGACCACACGGGAAGCCATTCGGCTTCTGTATTTGAAAACGGTTACCCTGTTTTTCCTTAGTTTGCCTCTTTTAAAAAAACAGTAAGTTGATAGAGAAATAAAACAAAAACTGAATGCTTGCTTAGAAAATTCTTAGGTATTTTAATTTCAATCTCTGCAAACCCTCCATGAAACCGGAGATGCTCCGTGAACCGCAGGGCTGTGTCCAGTGTGCACACGGTTTGGGGTGTCTGGGTGCTTCCTAAAGGAAGCCCAGAGATTCCTGACTGCATCTGTTATCTACTTGTTATGGTGAATCGGGGGAGAGTCACGCGGCTGTTTTCTATCCGCTCCTGAACCAGAAGTGGCAGTGAGTTCTCCTCCCCGGAGACCACACCCGGCGCCCGGGGCTGGCCGCAGCGGCTTCCCTGAAAATCAGCCACCTGCACGGCCTGTCCAAATCATCAGGTTGAGCGCTACACAGGTGTAAAAAGAGGGAAAGGGGCTGTTTAATACGCTGGCGTTGGCGGCGTCAGGCAGGAATCCGGCTTGGTGGGCTCCAAGCAGCCCGAGCAAGTCGGTCTCACCGTTAGTCTCCAACTCATTCTCTGTTCTCCTCCTACACCCCGCAACGCGCTGAAAGCACCGAGGTTCCATTCCCAGAAAAGAAACAAAGAAAAAAGCTGGGAACACAAACAAGCCGATTAACTGCTCTAAAGGTTTAGAAATGCTAAACAAACACCTGCAGTGCCGCAGAGTGTGGGGTGTGTGTGTGTGTGTGTGTGTGTGTGTGTGTGTCGGGGGTGGGGTGTGTGTGTGCACGCACATTCCCAGAGTGTTGAGAAGCATCACATTAAAGAAAAGGAAAAGGAGAAAAGGAGATAAAGAAAGTGCCAGAAAAGGCTACAAAGTAACGTGAAACTCTTCTCCATCTATGCCGCAGACACGCAACCTAACCTACTATTTCTATGTCAAATGCCCTCGCGGCACCGCCACCACAGACAGCAAAGGGGATGATCTAGCAGGTCCCCGGTGGGGAAAGGGCGAGTTGGGGGACAGGGTGTCCGCGAGGCACCAGGATATGGAAAACTAGGGTGTCAGTAGGGAGAGAGGACCTGTTATTGGGGACACTTGAGCTAAGTGACACGAGGCCTAGGTATAAGCAAGGATGGGAGTGCGTGCGTGGATGGGTAGAGAAAGGAAATGAGGGAGGGGGTGCAGGGTCTCAGAGAAAAATCGAGGGCTTCAGAAAAAAGCAGAAAGGACGGCCGCCGCAGCTCCCCAGCCGCCTGTCGCTCGCCCCCGCCTTCCCTTTTGCGCAGAATCCTCGCCCGGGCTGCGGCAGCGCGCTGCCCCCACTGGCCGGCGCGCGGTGATCGATCGCACACTGCGTCAGAATCCCGCCGGCGTATAAATAGGGGTGGCAGGACGGCGCCGAGCCGCACACAGCCATCCATCCTCCCCTTCCCCTCTCTCCCCCGTCCTTCTCTCTCCAGGCCCCCACCGCCGCCGCGGGCCGGGGAGGCACCGGCCGCCACCATGAGTTCCTTCAGCTACGAGCCGTATTACTCGACCTCCTACAAGCGGCGCTACGTGGAGACGCCCCGGGTGCACATCTCCAGCGTGCGCAGCGGCTACAGCACCGCGCGCTCCGCTTACTCCAGCTACTCGGCGCCCGTGTCCTCCTCGCTGTCCGTGCGCCGCAGCTACTCGTCCAGCTCGGGCTCCTTGATGCCCAGCCTGGAGAGCCTCGACCTGAGCCAGGTAGCCGCCATCAGCAACGACCTCAAGTCGATCCGCACGCAGGAGAAGGCGCAGCTCCAGGACCTCAACGACCGCTTCGCCAGCTTCATCGAGCGCGTGCACGAGCTGGAGCAGCAGAACAAGGTCCTGGAGGCCGAGCTGCTGGTGCTGCGCCAGAAGCACTCCGAGCCGTCCCGCTTCCGGGCGCTGTACGAGCAGGAGATCCGCGACCTGCGCCTGGCGGCGGAAGACGCCACCAACGAGAAGCAGGCGCTCCAGGGCGAGCGCGAGGGGCTGGAGGAGACGCTGCGCAACCTGCAGGCGCGCTATGAGGAGGAGGTGCTGAGCCGCGAGGACGCCGAGGGCCGGCTGATGGAGGCGCGCAAAGGCGCAGACGAGGCTGCGCTGGCCCGCGCCGAGCTGGAGAAGCGCATCGACAGCCTGATGGACGAAATCGCTTTCCTGAAGAAGGTACACGAAGAGGAGATCGCCGAGCTGCAGGCGCAGATCCAGTACGCGCAGATCTCCGTGGAGATGGACGTGTCCACCAAGCCCGACCTCTCTGCTGCGCTCAAGGACATCCGCGCCCAGTATGAGAAGCTGGCCGCCAAGAACATGCAGAATGCCGAAGAGTGGTTCAAGAGCCGCTTCACGGTGCTGACCGAGAGCGCCGCCAAGAACACCGACGCCGTGCGTGCAGCCAAGGACGAGGTGTCCGAGAGCCGCCGCCTGCTCAAGGCCAAGACCCTGGAGATCGAAGCATGCCGGGGCATGAACGAAGCGCTGGAGAAGCAGCTGCAGGAGCTAGAGGACAAGCAGAATGCCGACATCAGTGCTATGCAGGTGGGGCACCATCCGAAACACATGGGTTTGTGGGGCGGAGGGTGCTGCTAACAGGGGGTGGGGGAGTTGAGGGTGCGCCCAGAAAGTGGGGGCCAGGGTTGAGGCAGGTGCATGCACCTATTAGGGGTAGGACTTGGCTCCCTAAAGTCTGCGTGGTAGGGGTGGGGCACTTGGAGGGCGAGGGTGGGGCTCTCGGACTGCAGTCTGGGTTTGCGCTCGGTGCTGTTCAATCTGTCTTGCGCATTGAAGCTGCCCAGCCCTGCCTGGGGGTTGGGTGGGGGAGGGGAAGAAGAGAGTTGGGCGTTGCCTCCAGCCTGCGGTGACATCCGCTTTTTACTGACTTTCATTAACCACAAATTACTTTGCAGCACTTATTGGATTATCTGATTAATACATAGTATAGCAAAAAACTCTCAATCAGTTCTGAGAGATTACTGTGACCAGCATGCTTTATGACTAGCTTTATCAACCACTCCCTCCCCTTAGCAGGTAGACAGGAATACAGTCAAAATTGTTTTACATAATTGACCAGTGATGTTCAAGGTAAACTATTTCTATTTAGAGGAGCTCCATCTCCTGGGGACTAGAAAAAAATAATTTAGATACAAGGGAAATAGAGAATATAATTTTTAAAATTCAGCTATTTCCTTCTCCCATAAAGAATTAATCAGTGAGTGTGAAACAAAATTTTTCTATCAATTTAGGTTTTTTTTTAATTTTATGATAATCATCAGACTATATTAAGTAAAGAAATAGAAAAAAAATTTTCTTTCATCAGTTTTTTTTTTTTTTTCATCTCAGGCTTCATGAAGCTAGATATTTTAGCCGAGAAAGGGTATTAAAAAGAACAGGCAATTGTTTGAGGAGAGATTTTATGAAAGGTATACACTTTGATTTTAATTGAAAATAGGCCTTTGCAACTGTAGTACAGTAAAATGATAGCAGTAGGGATTTATGCTTGGATTTCTTTTTTTTTTTTTTTTGTCTTCCAACAGGACACGATCAACAAATTAGAAAATGAATTGAGAACCACAAAGAGTGAAATGGCACGATACCTAAAGGAATACCAAGACCTCCTGAACGTGAAGATGGCTTTGGACATTGAGATTGCAGCTTACAGGTGAGAACAGGGGCAAAGGTAGCTGCCATTAAGCCTTAGGAAGAAAATCAGATTCCATTTAAAATTATGTTGGATCAGAAACCTTCAGGAATAGTTCTTTGAAATAATGAAGCAGAATCATTAATTTTTTTGGCTTCTCCCAAGAAGAAGGTATTTAGACAAATACCTAAGCATGTAACCCTGTAATAATGAGTCTTATTCTTAGCTTCCCATTATATTTTAAATCTCTTAGGCCTATTTATGATTTTTTTTTCTGGTCACAGTCACAAAATCCCTAGTCATTAATTTTTGATAATTCCCAGCCCTGCTCCTGGTGGCATTGGGGGGAAGGGAAGAGGGGTGGGCTCAGAGCAAGTCATTAAACACATTTCCTGCTCCTGTTTTTTAACCCCACCCTCCACCTGCCTCCCCAGGAAACTCCTGGAAGGTGAGGAGACCCGGCTCAGTTTCACCAGCGTGGGAAGCATCACCAGTGGCTACGCCCAGAGCTCCCAGGTCTTTGGCCGATCTGCCTACGGTGGTTTACAGACCAGCTCCTACTTGATGTCGGCCCGCTCCTTCCCGGCCTACTACACAAGCCAGGTCCAGGAGGAGCAGATCGAGGTGGAGGAGACCATTGAGGCTGCGAAAGCAGAGGAAGCCAAGGACGAACCCCGCTCTGAAGGAGAAGCCGAAGAGGAGGAGAAGGACAAGGAAGAGGCTGGGGAAGAAGAGGCAGCCGAAGAGGAAGAAGGAGGTATGATCAAAAACAAAACCCTGCAACTTCAAGTGCACACTGGGTGTGGCTATGTGTTAGGAAGTGTGTAAGATAAATGAAGTCTTGCTTACGCTAGGGAGGCTTTATTCATATGTGATTTTAGAATCTTAAATAAATAATGCATTTGTTTATTTAATACACCTTTAGTAAGCACCTGAGTGATTGCTCAAAAATTTCATTTTTTAATGCATTCATTGATCACAGCAGTTGGTATCCTACAAAGATGAATACCAAACACATAAGAAATGCTGAGGTTAGGTCTTGGAGAGGAGCAGAGCTTCCAATATCTACACTTAGACATACATACTCTCATTCAATTTAAATATGCATTCAGTGGCAAAGGATTCGTGACAAGCATTGTCATGTCAGGTGCTTTTGGGGAGTGGCGTTGAGAGGTTTCTGGTGAGCATCCTGACAGTTGTGTTTTACCATCAAACCTTTGCAGAAATGTTTGACTGCACTTACCCTGCATCTGGATCTTGTCAATTTTCTTTTTTATGTTAAAGCTGCCAAGGAAGAATCTGAAGACGTGAAGGAAGAAGAGGAAGGAGGTGAAGGTGAAGAAGGAGAAGAAACCAAAGAAGCTGAGGAGGATGAGAAAAAAGTTGAAGGTGCTGGGGAGGAACAGGCAACTAAGAAGAAAGATTGAGCCTCCTCCCCTCCCTTTTCTTTAATTATGCCAGGAATACTTCTCCTGAAATCAGGTCAACCCCATCATCAACCAACCAACCAGTTGAGTTCCAGATCCTCCGTGAATTAAAAAGTCAATCTATGTATAATTCTGAGATGACTTAGGTTGGACATTCAATGTTGTGCTATGAGTTTTCTCTTTATGCAGAGTCTCTGTTTGCTTGCGGAGTGGCTTTCTGGCTTGCTGCCAGCCTGTGCATGGTCCACGCTTATGAGTTCAGGATCTACGGCAATGTGAATCATTCAGATGTTTACAAATAAAAAAACACACACCATGAATCAATGAATTCACTAATGTTAATGTTAAACTTCATGGAGAAATAGTCCTTTGAGCCTTCGGTGGTTAAACATTAAAAGACCTCAAGTTATGTGCAATAAATAGTAAATAAAGTTACACTGAATGACATAGTTCTTGCTGTGGTTGTTGACTTAATTAAAATACCTTAAAGAGGGCATAAGTCTAAGCTATATACAAGTGATCTGTTGACCTCTAATTTTTTTAAAACTCAAGATTTTAACAATTACTTTTTTTTCCCACTTAATTGGAAATTCTGAGGGGTAGAGTGAGGTCACGACTATTCATGAAATCTTTCCCCTCAAAAATTTTACGGCCAATAAACATGAAGATGAGAAAGTCTATAAGGAACAATATACTTTGCCCCATAAAATATACAATAATAGGTTGCAGGATAGCTTTATGGGAAGCAATTCTGAAAGTATCTGACGGATATACCCTTTATGGTAAATAGGTTGATTCAAACTAGTATGTAAGAGTACAATATGAATAGAATATAAATCCCACACATCTCTAAAATTGCATTTTAAAATATAGTCTAAATATCATGGGCAAAGGTTGAAACCTGAGCACATGATAGAATCAGGAAGAAGAATTTTTTAGCAATGTATAATTTTGGAAGGAGAGAGTTGAGACTATCAAAGGTTGTTTGTCCCTCCCCTGCAAACATGTTGCCTGCAATCCTGAGCTCATGATTCAGTGTGTTGTTTGCTTAATTCTGTTGTCTCAAATAAATAGCATTTAATGACACATATTTTAAACCTTTCTAAAAACTACAGACACAGGTAACGAAATTATTATCAGTCACTTAAGGGTGGGGGGAGATAATATACCTGTATGTTTTACATTGGCATTGCTCTGCATGTCTTTATTGGGAAATACTTGGATTTCAGTGATAGCTTAACTGGTTGGCATTGCATCAAATACACACCCCATCTGTCCTCCTTGTCCACTGTAAAGTTATGAACGCTCTTGCAATTGCATTTGATGGGGAATATAGATGACAGTATTGACTATCTGCTACTCTGCTTCTGTTCTTAAACGATTGCTTTGTCAGCTGACTTTGTTCAATATTTGGTTTTTAGATGATATTTTTAAGTCATGAATTTAACCTGAAACTAAAGTGGTCTCCATTTAAAGTTATTTGATTCCCTTCACGCTACCTATTTCTAGTTAAATATATGTTACCATGCAAATAGGTAAAATATTTCTTTATCTGCCATGAGGATATGGATTTGAACTATGAAGGCTCTGAGCATATTGGCTTCTGTAAAGAGTAAGAATCTCAGAACCAAGCTTTTCACATTTATGCTAATTGGACGTGAGATGATACACATGGTGAATTTCAGGCAGGTTCAAACTACATCTACAAAGTAACTTGAGCTAAATGGGAACAGCTGGTTGGTTTGAGAATTTCTTGGTTGAAGTTAAGAACACTGTACCATACTCTATCCTGTGTGCCATAATAAAATACTGAAAAACCTAAATTAAATGAGTTTGCAGTCTTTTAAAAAATTTCCCCAAATTTGGTACCGTTGTCTGTACCCCTTTTCTCTCTGCTCCCCCCAAAAACCCCAGTCCTTTTTCAGTTATTCCCCCTTCCAGTCAATGACCCCTCTCCCCAGTCATCCGATTCTGTAAATCAGACACGTCACATGTCATCTTCCCCCCATTCCCTCTCCTCACACCCTCTGGTCTAATCGGTCACCGTGCCCTAGTGGTTCTCCTACCTCCATGTCTTGAATCCATCCACACCTCTGCGAGCACTGCCATCGGTGTCTACACCTGGTCTCCTTCAATCAGTACCCCGGAGCAGGCTAGTCTTTTGAAAAGTTTTGATCATGGCATCTTCCTGGTTAAAACCCCTCAATAACTTCCTATTTCTTTTAAATAAAAAAACCAAACTCTCTAATGTGGTCTTTCAAGGCCTGCATCGACCTGACCCCTGCCTACTTCTCTGGCCTCATCCTCTGTGTATCTGCCTGCGCCTTACTTCCGGTGCTCCAGCCAACCTGGTCTTCCGGTGTCCCACCTGCTGCAGGGTTTTGCTGATTACCCTGTCTGGAGCACTCATCTTTTCTTTTCTTCTCTCAACCTTGCCCAGCCAGTTCCTATTTACCCTTCAGATTTAGGCTTAAGTGTCATTCCCTAAGAGAAGCCTTTGCTGACCTCTTCTGGTGGGTCAAGTTCTTCTATTAAATATGCTCCTAAAACTGTGTAGATTTTTTCATACTTGTAACTAGACATTAACTATCTGTGTGATAATTTGATCACTGTCTGCCTCTCCCACTACTCCAAAGCATGGGAATCAGGTCTCTGTTGCGCACAATTTTATTCCCAGTATCTAGCATAGTTCCTGTCATAGTGGAGGCACGATGCATATTTATTGCATGAATAACTTCTCCGTAGATTAAAGTGACTAGAAAGTCAAGAGTATTCATCAGTCGGTTCCAATCTCATCCACTCCTTGTTGTGGAAAGAGCAAAGAACCACAAATTGAGTGTCCATCCTGGATTCTAGAGTTACTCCGTTGTGGCCCACTGGCCATTCCCACTCCCACCCCCACCAGATCTTAATTTGCTTATATATGTACGGGTCACATAGCTGGTCTGAATGGCAGGGCTGGGATTCAGACCTCACAGTCCAGCTTTGTAGCCCACACTCATCCACCTCACTGCCTTTGCAGTCCATCTTGTGAGGTACACCTGTGGCATCGGAGTATGTTCTCACCAGTGTATTTTGGGACGGTGGTCAGAGAGTTTTCACACAATAATAAAAACTCTTAAAAGGCAGTTCTGTACCTTTAAAGGCCACGTGTACCATTGCAGTTACTCAGGCTGCTCAAACTTTTCATTCATTCTGTGATGATTTATGTCCATATCTTAATCCCTTTGCTTAAATTACAAGCTTTTGGAAGGCAGGAACCAGGTCTTATAAACAGAGATGAATTTGAAATTTATCTTCAAGGATCGTCGACGTTCAAGATGGTGTTATTCCTCTACCTGGTCAAAATTTTCTCGTTCTGTTGACATTTTACTAATCCTTAACTGTTTCTTCTCCTCCTCCTATTTCTCCTCTTTTTAGAAAACAATATTCTCCTTTCTCTATCTCCTTCTTCTTGCTTGTCTTCTTGCTGTAAGCCATTTCAAATAATTTTGGGAGGGGAGAGATGAAGATTGACTGAATAAAAGATGTCTTCATTTCCTTCCACAATACTCAATAAAATGCCTTGGACTTAGTGGGCATAGTAATAAATGTTTCTGGAATGGCAAAGGTTTAATATCTGTGAGAACATTTCGTAAACATGGGAAGGATCGAGAATTTCTTCTTTCTCCCTTGAGGACGGAGTGTGAGTTGTCAGAGATGATTCCAGTTCAGCTGAAATCCATTTGAAAGGGGCTCCCAGTGGAGAATTCAGGATGTTTTTCTGTTGGGTGTGCAGTGAATTATACAAGCTCTCAGCAGGGACCATTTTCAGTGTAAGGTCCTCTAGAAAATTCTCAGTGAAGAGTCTTAAATAAGAATTATAAAGCCAAAAGGTAAAGCAACATGGGAATAAAAATACCTTCAGCAGCCTCACAAAGTAACTGTTGGTAGTTTGTACCAGCCTTTTTATTCTACTTCAACGTAGATAATCATTTGTACATGGAGGGTTTTAAAAATAATGTAATGATGAGATTAACAGCAAATTTAAAAAGAAAAAAAATTTCATTTTCTCCATTCAAACCCAGTTATTTTCATTTATATGTTCTTTTTTTAGTTCTTGCTTTTATTTATGTATATTTTGACATAGAGCATCTGTTCATTCCACAAAATTAGTCATATACTACGTGCCAGTCACTGTTCAAAGTGCAAGAAATAGAGCAGAGAATTTCCTGCTTTCAGGAACTTAACAGTGGTGTGTGTGAGTGTGTGTGTGTGTGTGTGTGTGTGTGTGTGTGTGTGTGTGAACAGACAGTGGGCAAGTAAACAGGTTAATAAGTAGGTGATTTTTGATCAGAGCCAGACATGTAACAATCTGGGGTTCCACGTGGAGGAAAAACAACAGCAAAAACAACAGCTTAGCTTCTTTGAACCCAGGAAAACGTGTTAATGGCTGAGGATTATGAATGAGACAGAGAGTAGAACAGAAGGCTCATAAAGGCAGGCAAAGGCCAGATTATGCATGGGCTTATATATCAAGAAATTTAGATTTTATTCCTTGTGCAATTAGAAACTTTTGCAGAGGTTAAGCAAGAGAAGGTGATATTATCTTATCTATGTTTTATTAATATAAAGACCACTCTGGTTCTTGTGAAGTAGACATTAGGGAAGCAAGAGTCAAAGTAGAGACTAAGTGAAAGATTATTTTAGCCCAGATAACAAAAACTGGAATGGTGACTTAGAATAGGCAGTGACAATAGTGATGGCAGGACATGGTGTGATTCAGGATATTGCTTTTGCTGTTGTCTTACTGGCAGAATGAATGCATGGAGAAGGAAAGTTGTAAACAGAATCTTATTTTTGATAACTACATAATATTTCATTCATCACATAAATATGCAGTTTTTATTAGTTATCTGTTGCCGTATGACAAATCGTTCCAAAACTAAATGGCTTTAAACACCTCAATTATTCATTATTTCTTACTTTCTGCAGATCAGGAATTTGGGAGTGGCTCATCTGAGACATTCTGGCTCTTGATCTTTCATGGGGTTGCAGTCAAATATTGGCTAAGGTTACCGATATCTGGAGGCTTGACTAGGGCTGCAGGATCCGTTTCAGGGTGGCTCATTCACTTGGCTGGCAATTTCCTCTCCACATGGACTTTTCATGGAGCTGCTTGAGTATCCTTACAACATGGCAGCCAGTCTTCCCCAGAGCAAGGCCTCCAAGAAACCAAGGCAGAAGTTACAACATCTTTTATGACCTAACCTTGAACATCACATACCATCACTACCACTGTATTCTATTTGTCATGGAGACCAGTTTGCCTGATTCAATATGGAAGATATCTACACAAGGGCATACACGAGGGGCAAATACCAAGAGGTAGACATCACCGGAGGCTACCACAAGATAGTTGGGCATGTGTTTCTTTTATGAACAACAAGAATCCATTTCAAAGAT